ACCAAGCATGAAGATTATTTATGACAACAATGAATGATACACAAAAGTCTACATAGATAATTGTGTCACATAATCTTGAACATTTTGCAAGTAGTGCAACGCGGCGAGGCTGTCCTAGCTTGGCCTGAACCCCTCTGCTGTTACGAGCCTAATACTCGTGAACCCTCACCTGGGCCTGACTGTTCCCGACGATCAAATCTACTACCCTGGAACTGCTATGGTGGAGGTCTAAGTGGCCTAATAAAATATCGGGCTCTGGGACCACCCTAAAAATCTCTTTGCGAACCAGCGGGACTAGCCCTCTTCTGTCTCTCTCTCTCGACCCTCTCACTCATATACTGTAAATGTCGGCGATCCTCTATGCCTTGTGCAAATGCCTGAATTCGCGAGATATCCATATTATCATTTAGTACAGCAGTAGAACAAACATTGATATAGTCTGAGTCGAACCCTCCCATAAATCTACGCACCCTATCATGCATCGTATGAACAAATGCTGGTGCATATCTAGCCAATGAATCAAATCTCAGCCCGTACTCTCAGACACTCATGCTGCCCTGTCGGAGGTTCAGAAACTGGTCCACCCGACCATCCCTAATCTCTCGAGGCAAATAGTGATCTATGAAAGCTTCTGTAAATCTATCCCAAGTGGGTAGGGATGCATATTTTCCCCTAGATCTCTCCCAACTCTCGTACCACAATACTACAACTTCACGCAATCGAAATGTTGTTAACTCAACTGACTCAATCGGTGAGGTATGCATGATTCTAAAGATCATATGAAGCTGATCAATAAAGTGTTGAGTGTCATCTCTGCGATCTGTCCCTGTAAACTATGGAAGATTCAAGGCTAGAAATTCACGAACTCTCAAACTTTCGGGACCTTCAGAAGGTCCGGCAATATCTGGCGCAACTGGTTGGCACTGTGCAGCTACTAACTGTGCTAACGTACATACTGCACTCTTGAAATCCTGATTAGATGGAATAGGTTAAACTAGAGGTGGTGTTGCTGGTGGAGCCGGAAGTACTGTAGCCCTCGGAGGCTCCTGAAGCGGTGGAGAAGCAATAGGGGGTTGAGAAGATGTCTCTTCCTGGGTCTCACAATGGGCTACCTCCACCTGTGGTACCTTGCCAGTACCCTCGGTTGCAGTTGTATCTAGCCTCTGGCTAGTTGGGGTCTGTCTAGAGCATGTCAGTCATCTTTATCAGCATCCAAGGATCAATTATAAGCCAGAAACATCAACCCTTAAGACACCGCTCTATAGCACGAGGTGAGCAAAAGAAGGATAGTCATTCTAACATGCCCAGTAGCTTCTTGCTTACCGGATGTAGTGCACAACACATTTTATAAACAAGACTCTACTAGACATGGCTTGCAAAACTCCTTAGGATACGACGTTGCTCTGATACCAAGTTTGTCACGCCCCAAAATCGAGGGCGCAACTGGCTCCTAATGCCAAAACTCAGCCCCGAGCCGACCTTGCTGAGCCATTTGCTACTAGCGCATGGCAGCCACACGCAATCAAGAAAACAAACAAGTATATCTCGGCTTAAAACTAAGCCATCGATCGACAAGGTCCTTGTCAACTGATCTATAAAAGAAACAGCTACTCCCAGGAGATCATATAAATAAATAGCCAAC